GGGGTCGGCGGGAGGCGTGGAGCCCGCGCTGCAGTCCCCGCCGCTGCCGCCCCGGGGCGACTCGAAGAGCGCGTCGTGAGCGCCCGCGCCTCCCGCAGGAGGCGGTGGGCCGGAGCCCGGGCCGTTGGCCACCACTTGAGGGGGCTGGCCCGGCGGGGGCGCAGCCTCAGCGCTCCCCCCGGGGCCTCCGGGCTCGGCCAGGTCCAGGAAGGCCTGGCGCAGCAGGGCCGGGCTGTCACCAAGCGCGCATCCCAGCGCCGAGGGCGGCTGTGGCGGGGGCTGTAGGTAAGTGGGCACTGGAAGCCCGCCGGGGGTCCGCGGCGGCCAGAACATGCAAAAGGGCGGGTAAAAGGCGTCCTTTCGGCCCGCTGGCCAGAAGAGGCCGGACAAGCCGGCCTTGGGCGCCGCGCCCGCACCGCCAGCACCTGCGCCCCCCAGGGCCTCGGCTGTGGCACCCGCGTCCTCCTTCTTGTGGCACAAGCCAAAGGCGGCGGCTGCGGCCGGGAAGGTGTAAGGGTGAGGAAAGAGGCCCCCGCAGCCTGGGAACTTTTGCAGCACGCCCCCGAAAGAGCCCTTGCTAGGCACCGGGATCACCGGATAGCTGCGCGGTCCTTTGGCGCCCGCCGCCGCTCCTGCCCCGGCGCCAGCGCCGACGCTGGTCACACAGCCTCCCCCGGCTCCGCCCCCTCCAGTCCCGGCGCCGCCCGAGGCAGCGGCCACTGAGAGGCTAGCGGCTGCAGCCGAAAGGCTGGCGGCGGCCACCACGGCTGCCTCTTGCAGGGAGTCGTCGTCGTCGTCGAATCTCGGCCGCTTGTGATGAGCGTGCGGTGAGCCCGCCAGCTCCGCCAGGGGTGGCGGGGGCGGCGGCGGCGGGGGTGCGCCCAGCAGGTGCGGGCCCAACAGTCCCCCGCCCCCTGCCACTGCGGCCGCGGCTGCCACTGCTGCCGCCTTCACGGAGCTAAGCGGGTGGCAGGCGGGGTGTGCGCCCGGTTGGGGTAGTGCACGCTTTCTGCTACCGCCATTGAACATGGCTTTGACGTCCTCCCAGGCGAAGACTAGCTCGTCCTGGGGGCTCTTGTCAGTGAGCTTGAGATGACGGCGCCACGAGTTGAAGTTGGCAGCGTCTGGCTGAGTGTACTTGGCGTCGGGCGTGCGATGGGAGTGGAAAATGAACTTGTTGGGCGAGAAGTACATGTTGCAGTAGCTGCATTTGATGCACTTGGCGCGCGAGCTGTTGTAGCGCGCGGGGATGAAGCTGCCACGGCAGCCCCAGGCACACTCGTGCGACACGTCGAAAGCAAAGTTGTCCGGAAGCTTGGGCGGCCTGTTTTCGCCCAGGAATGACTTGCACAGACGCTCGGCCTCGCGCTTGGTGATCATGCCGCAGCGGCGCGAAGAGATGGGCATGGCGCCCGCGCGCCGCAGGATCTCCAGCTGCACTGGCGTGCACTGCACGCACGTGATGCCCAGCGCCACGCGGCGGTTGTGGATCTCGTTGTAGCTGAAGTTCTTGAGAAGTGTGTTGGAGATCTGCGCCAGGCACAGGCGCTCCTGCCCGTCGATCACCAACGACACGATGGGAATGCCGTAGAGGATCACCTGGCCCACCTGGTTGGGTTTGAGGTTGGCGTGGCCTGGCCGCGGCTGGCTCAGCGCGTCGGGCTGGAAGGCGCTCGACGGCGACGCCAGCAGGATGTCGTTGGGCCCCGGCAGCGGGCTGGAAGCCATCTCCTCCGCCGCGGAACCCCGGGCCAAGCCCTCCGGGTCTGCCTTGGAGACTGGAAGGGAAAGGAGAAAGCATTGATTTGAGCCTTTTCGTATTAAAACAGAGGGGTGGGGGAAATCGCTAACTGAAGAATTGTAATAACTTCTTTGCTTTGGTTAAGACATGATTATTACTGGAAAAAGTGACCAAGTATCAGACACAAGAGTCATCTTTTAATTTCCTTCAAGGTTATCCGTTAGAGATACAGAGATCTGAAGGTACTTCTAAACATTCAAAGTAAATGAAGTGTGTGTGTGTATATATATATGTGTGTGTGTGTCTATACATATATGTATAGACACACACACACATATAGCAGTCAATTCCCAAGGAATTTGAGATCTTATCCTGGATTTATAGCAGCTGTTGGAATAAAATAGTGTGCCTGCTAGAAATTAGGAAATAATAACAGTTGTAACTAGTACAGACTGTGAAAGTTTTGGAAAACTGGAGCTTGGCTATTGAAACCCAAATTTAGAGAGAGAGAGCATTCGCATTTGCTTGAAAATAGATTGATTTTGAGTTTAAAAAAAATAAACCCAAACCTTTTAAAAAGTGATTTTTGTGGTATCTGTGGTTTCCTTGGGGAAATTCACTACTGGTTGAAACACAGTTCATTAAAGCAAAACGAAATCCCTTTCCAGCTATCCTTGCCATTAGATTTTTTTTCACTGTAATTAGAATTTTTTAAGTGAAAAAAATGTACAAAGCCATATACACAATTGCACCAAAATAGAGTGTTTCTCTTTCAGTTATCCATTTCAAAACCCCACTTGCTGAACTGAGTGGTTCTGGTCCCAGATAAGGGGCTTAAAAAGATAAAGTTGAAGATTAGAAACATTTAAAAAAATGTTTTCCTGTCATTTCCATGACAATAAAAAAAGTAAGTACAGGCAAGTGTGTTAAACCCAGAAATGGTGCAAGGGAACGAAGAATCCTTGGGGATCTTTATTGGCAGACTTCAAAAGGCAAATTTAGTTTAATGTGAACTACCTTCTGTGACCTTTTTCCCCTTGATCTATGTAGATTATATATTTATTGGGGAAAAGCTGCCCCCTCCCCCAGCACAGGTAATCTGTGGGAGGGTTGAAAGTCAAAATCCCAGGTTGGGCCTGTGATAAAATTCCTAACTTCATCTCTGGTCAATTGAGTGCTCCCATAAGGGAAAATATCCAGTAAATTGCAAATATAGAAAAAGGAATAGGAAAAAAACCTTTGTGTGACAATGTTGTTAAGTCAAGACATGCAAATTCACTCATTCCCTAGGAAAACAAACAGTGACCTTTCCACAGCTACATGTCATAGCACATTGGCCAAGACTATTATTTGCCATGGAAAATCTCCAGTGGCCATGGTATAGCCACACTCCACCAAGTACAGTTTGTTATTACAGCGATTTCAGAGGATGCACTATCCTACTCGCTCACGCAAATTGTCACATCTGTGCCCTCTCTCTGGGCCCCCCGTGGCATCTATACTGCAGCCTCTGCCCTGCTGCCCCCTGGATCCTCAGCTCTCATTACATTTGGTGGCCTCCAGGAAGGCTGAACAAACCTCGACGCGATCAAACGAGAGGAAGCCTGGCTTGTCACTTCGGATGGATCAGAGACAATATTTCCAGGGGACAGGGCGTTACATGGCAGTTCAAGGCACAGTGATACCTGAGCCTGCTACGATCAAACCTAGCTTCGCCAAATGGCCCTTCGATGCTCATTTCCCTTCCAAACGAGATTCGTATTAGCTTAATAAGACCCTGGGATAACTGGAACTCTCGCTCCCCAGCAATGCGTGCAGCGGGCCTGCCCAGGAGGAGGGCTGGTTCTGCTTTAGGGACCCGCAGCCTTAGCAGCGGTAGACCAGGCAGAAGTGTCTCCTCTGGGTGTCCTCCACTTTCACCCCAAACCCTTACAAAAGCTCCTGTCAGAGAAGAGACACAAATAAGAAGGTTTAGGTTGGGAGATTTTTTTTTAAGGGAGCGAGGGCAGAAGAGACAATTAAAAGTTAGCTGGACTGAAAAAGGAAGCTGGGGAACTTCCCTATCCTGCTCACGATCCAAAGATCCCGAACTTAGTTCTCCCGGCTCCCAAACCAGTCACCAACGAAGCCCGCCGCAGCCCCTCCACGTAGCGCGGAAAATCGCACCGCTGGGGAACTGAAATAGCGAACCGCAAGCTGTGTGCCGAGTTAGGGCCGGCCGGTTCCAGCAGTACCTGGTAACTCCTAGGTGTCTTTAGGCGTGTGGCTGCCGGCCCATCTTCCGAGGGCGCTCGGAGGCGAAGCATCCAAGCGGGTCCTCGAATCCAGCGGGCGGGACTCCGGCGGGTTCTGCGTGAAGATCCGGGCTCTCGTCTGAGCTAATGACGCTCGAACCCCGGCCAGGGGAGAAGATGGCCTGAATTGCGGCCCGGCGTCCCTGGACCGCAGAAAGTGTGGGCGTGCGGAAACCTGCGGCAGGCGAGCCCCAAGTGGAGCGCAGTCTGACAGCGCCTTTCTCTGTCTCTGAACTCGTGTCGGACCGAGGGGACGCCACCCAGCGGGCAGGGTGACGTCACCGTCTCCCTGACACTCCACATTAAAGGGCTGGCATGTTACAGGGAGGGAGGGGGAGAGCGAAAGCGAGAGCGAGCAACCTAGGGATCCTTCCTCGGCAGGCACGAAAGCTACCACCTAACCAACCCGCTGTTGACAGCAACCTCCCCAACCCAGGAGCAAAACGCAGCAATGGTGCTGGAGCCGCAGATCTGATTTAGGAGTGGAAAGCACAACAGTCTGCATGCATCCCAGGGACCTGGATCCTGGAGGCCCCGATTCTAAAAGGATGCCTCCAAATTAACTGTATTCCTGCCTGTTATTGTCTCCTCCCCTCATTTCTGAGTCACGCTCCTTCATGAATGATCAGTCTGTTACACGGTGCAAATCAGTAGCCTCTCAGAGTGTCTCCGAACGTATAGAATCCACAGTCAGCCGCCAATAGATTAGCTTCAGCGACTCGTTTGTTTGAAACGCTGTGAAATGAGAAAAAGAGGAGAAGTTTCCACATAGGGTGCCCAATCTAAAAACTTGGAAGAAAGAACAGTGTCCCTACTTTTGCATATACAATTTGCTTTTTAGGAAAAGATACGGAGAGTCACTGCAGCTTTCTCTATTTTATGAAGTGTACAAGTAGGTGAGGACCCAATGTGGGCATTCGTCTTTCAACTTCATCCGGAATAGTTCGCCAACCCGTTTAATGAGATCCATGCAGGGCACCTTAGCACAAGGAAAAGGTGAGGTAGAGAAGCAGGGGAATTCCCATCCTTGAGTGGTCCTTGAGCAAGTTGTCAATTTCCCTGAAGAAGTACATTTCCTTAGGAAACCATGTACAGGCGTGCTCCCCACTGAAGACAACTAGGATAAGAAAACCTTTCCCTGTAGTTTCCTCAAAGTAAGGCACACCCTAGGATAGTAGTGAAGTGTCAATACATTGCCTCCGAATTGACCAGCTGTTAAGAGTCAAACAACCACTAGCTAGTTTATCAGAAAAGAAAGAAACCATTTATTTGGAGGATATTCTGAGGATGCCCGCTGGGGGTGGAGTCGGAGAATCCTTTAAGTTTTTCCTTTACTACCATAGCTGAATTTCCAACTGATGCCTGGTGAAACAGTCTTAGAGTTGTGGAAATAAGTGAATAACCTCCACTAAGCCAGAAGCCCGACCAGACTCTGTCACAGAATCAACAATAAACCACTGCTAAATACAATAGTAAACATATGAAATCTTAACACTTCATCAAACATTAGTAAAACCAAGGGAAGTCAAATGAACAGAAATGTGAGGGGATTGTTGCTCAGGAGTTGCTGCTATTTTGAATTAATATGAGAAAAACACAGTTTCAGAGCCATGGCAATTGAAAGGTTTGTGTGGCACATGTTTCCAAGAGCAGTGAAATAATTTTTCACCCATCTCCTAGTTTCTTAAGGGCATTAAGGGCACAAATTAGATTCTGTCCTAAGGGGCTGAAATCAACTGAGCACTTGTTCCCCAAGCCCTGAGAGCCTCCTCTCCTAAAAAGCAGGGAAACTCCGGCTTTCTGTTTGCCCAGCCCATCCGCCAAAAGAGCGCCATTGTCATTCACAAGTCCCTTCTGGAGAAAGGCAAAAGGCCCCGGCTCTTCTGAAAGATCCAAAGCAAGACTTGGTTCTTCCCCCATCCCCTGCCTCCTCTCTGGGGTCAGGAGTTCCCACAGAGCAGGTTTCCAGCGTCTGGACTGCTAGAAAGAAAGCTTGAGCCAGGTGTAAGGGAAGCCTGGAAATGGGCGGGTTTGGAGACTGAAAACCGGGAGAAATGAGAAGTCTTATCATCATGCTAAGGTGCCACAAGAAAATGCCTAGGTAGTGCTGGGGAGGGAGCACCTGGTCTTTGCTTTTTACTGTCTAGTTCCTTTGCCATCTTTACCCCATAAGGCTCCTCTTCCTATTACAGATTCATACCTTAAAAGAAAAAAAAGCTGTCTTCAAAAACATCTTTCTTTGAAAAGAGAAATGGGCCACATCTTTGCCTTCCTCCCATCCCTGGTTACCTGAGGTGTGAATGCATACCTGGGTGATACCTGCAGTCACCTCCTTACCTGAATCTTTAAACAGAAACATTCACACATTACTTTGGGGGCTTACTGCATGCAAGCCTGCAACTTTATTCCCCACCCCATCTGGTAGGACAAACAGGATATATAACTTTATTTTAACATAAAAAGTTTCACTAGAGAGAGAATCGTATGGTATTAGGTTAAATGTTTTTACACAAATAATTCTAAGAATAGTTCAGTATTTTATTTCCCCAATGAGTCTGGGGTGCCTGTTTGAAACGTCTGGCCAATTATATTTTTGGAAGGTGAAGGTGAAGGTGGAGAAGCTTTGTTCAAAGCAAACTTCGTGCTCCCGGAGAATCCTCATCTTGAGACCGCGGCTCAACTGCGGAATTACAGCCTGTTTGTATATTTTGAGTCTGTGAGCAACTTTCTGCCACCCACCGTCTCTCTGAAGCTTTGCTTTCTCCTCAGTTTGAACAAGCCTGCTGGTCCTCTGCGGGGTCCTTGTCGGTCCCTGTCCTGTCCCCTGGGACCCTGGCAGACTCAGGGAAGAGATGGCAGTGGCGGGAGGAGGGTGGTCCGGCCCGAGTTAATCAATGCTTTCTTATTCGAGCTGACATGCATTTTACACGTCGGGACTCTCCTCAGCCGGCTAATTGATTCAAATAGTTTTATTGGTTAAACTGGTGTCACCCGTTTGCATGATCTATCACCGCTTGGAGGAGAGCATTTCCACTCCCATCTCCGTTCCGGGCGGCTGCGGTTCACCCAGGCCAAGGACAGGTAAAGGAGCCCAGACGCCGGACCCAAAGGAAAACCACAAACCGAGCTGGCCCCCTCGCAACGGGAGGCGACGACTCGATGCTAGCGCACGCGGCCAGTACAGCAGAGCAGATGTGTTTCCAGCGACAGCTTTTAGCAATTGGTTGAAGCGAACCCCAAGCCAGCCGGGACGGAGCCCAGAGTCCTCCGGTTTGGAAGCAGTCAGGTTTCTGAGCGGGCGGCGGACCCTGGGGGAACCTAAACCAAAGCCAAAGCCGAGATGGGAGCTGTCCGCGGTGCTGACGCGATGCATCGTTCCAAGAAGGCATAGCAGATTCTACTGCGTTCAAGGCCCTCCCGGAAGAAGCCTCCTAGCCTGAAACCATCGGAGCCCTCAATTGAGCTCTGTCCTCTTGGACTTAAGAGGGAGGCAAGGGGCAATACGGAACCACATCTCCTACTTCTCCCACACATTCTCCATCTTCAAGGACTGAACAATTCAGCATCCCCCCAACACCACCCCTTTCCTTGCCATGACAGCAAGGAAGATAAAGGCCTTAATAAAAATTCATCACAACCAGAAACACCAGATATCCCCTCTCCTTCCACTCCCAGCTTGGGTATTAAGGAACTCATGACAGTTACAGATCAAAGAAACAGCCTCTATCCCTTTCTCCCATTCTCTCTTACCCCATTCTCAGCTCTAATGTAGAAATATTACTGCTACTGTGTCCCTGCCAGAAGTATTCCTGGCATTGGTGTTTTTGCACCAGATAGGTCAAAAAATGGTTTTCCTGTTAGTCCCAAGTCAGTAAAAGGTGACCCATGTGGCCCAGAAAGAAACTGAAAGACTGGCAGAACTGTCAGGTACAGAAAAATTCTAGTATATTAGAAACTACAGGGGATTCAGAGTAAGATGAAACTAGGTACAAATTTCTCCTCAATTACTTACTAGCTATGGAATCTTGTTCAGATACCTAACCTCCCAAGCCCCAGTTTCTTCATCTGCAAAATGAGGAGACTGATAGGTAGCCCGCAGGGGTGTTGTGAGAATTAAATATGATCATATATGCAAAGTGCATGACACACAGTAGTCATTTAATATGTGGTAGCTTTAAAAGCAGCACCTTCCTCAAAGAATGAGGATGAGAGCTAGGTCTGTCCTGTCACAAGATACATTACAAATCTTCACTGACTCCAGAATAAAAAATATCAAAGACATTTTTAGCTTAGTGGTGAGCAGAGGGGAATCAAGTTCCCTGGAGGAAAATTAGTCCTTTTCCTTAAAACTTTATTCTGCCCTTAATTGGCATAGTGTTTATTTTATATACAGCTGACCAGAACCCCAGCTAGTGTTTGTTTAACCTATTTTAAGTATGTTGATAATAAAAATTAGCAATGATAATGGCCATAATGATAATGATTGCTGGTAGCCCTCAATCCTCACTTTCTACCCTAAAAAGCTTTCTGCAGCCTTGAAAACCCAGCTCAGACTCCTTGTTTTTTTCTCCATTGCCCTAGCTGGAGTGACAGGAAGCAAACCAGGGCAAGGAGCAATCAAAACACTCATTCATGCTGGAAGTTATGGGAGAAATTAGAAAGGCCTTTCAGCATTCTGAGACTGGCTCACTCTTTGAATCTCCTCTAAAATATTAACTATGGACAAGGACCCTACTTCCTGGGGCCAGAGTAGCCCAAGAGAAGTTCAATGATAGCACAAACCTAAAATCCTAAACCAGATTTGGGGAAGGGAAGGGGAAATTAGCACAATTTGCAGGATCTGTTTTCTGCCCCAGTGATCCCTTGGGTTCCGCATGCACCAATCAGTGAGTTCTTCTTAGACTTCAAACAAACATTTTTGTAAGAAATAGAGACTGTGGGAGGAGGAACCAAGACTTCATTTCCCTTTATCAGAGGAAACCATTCTCAAAAGAAAACTTGCATTTGGGTAAGTGGCAGAGAAGGTTTTTACCCTACCAGTTCACAGAGGCCAGGGACTAATTGAAACAGTTGCTATTGGACTTTATTAGAACAGAGAATCCACATTTGTTCATAAGTCCTCCCAAACCTGTAAACACAGCAAGGCACACACATGTGCACATAGTTTGCATGAAGTAATAAAATCCAGAATGGAAGACGAACTTAATGTACTTGGTGGTCACTTAGCAAATATTAGTTGACCAAGATAAAATTCAAAGGCACACAAAATACCTGAGACACACACAAGCCCATGGATGCATGATCTCCCTGAACACACCTGCAAATGTGCATGAAACAGGAATGCTGGTGCAGGGAGGGAATAAGCCCACTAAGCTCGCTCCCTTCCCTCTCTTCTCTTTGCTCTCTCCCTCTCTCTCTGTGCATGCATACACATATGTACCCGCCCCCTCCACCCTCCTCCTCCCCACATTGAAAAGGAGGGGGTCCTTTGAAATGGAGGTGGTCCCAGCTGGAAAACCCCAGAGCTCATTTAGATCACATCACTTCAGGCTTTTGTCTCTGCTCCTGAATAACCTAGGCCGCTGCAACAAAAGGATAGGCATCTACATGGAGTTTTCATTGGCAAAGATGCATCTCAAAGATGCTGTTATAATAATGAATAACAGGGAAGATGCTTGCCTTTTTTTGATTGCCACTCCTAAAGAAGGGAGAGGAGAAAAAAGGAGAAGAGGAGAGGTAGAAAGTGGAGCAAGAAATGGAGATTGTGGGAGAGAAAACTAAGGCAAGAATTTGGGTGGATTTCTGCAAAAGAATCTTTCATCATACAAAGATTCCAACTACCACCAAGTATAAGAAAAGGGGCTCGGGGATTATTTTATTTTCTAACTGGCTGTTATATTTCAGGAAGCCAGTTTAAGAAGTAACTAAGGCTGAGGATATACAGAGGATGTGGAGCAGGACATTTTAAAGCTTGGGGAGAGGAGGCAGAAGAGTGGGAATGGGGGGGAGGGGTGTAGATTGTCTGTTGACATGCACAGGAGAGAAAATGACATAGATGTACATTTTACATCTTTGCAGCTGACACTGGTGGAAGGAACATTGGATTTTATTTCCTGAGGAAATAAAGCATTTTTTTCTTGCTTGCTCTTTTTCCCAATCCTTACCCCCTCCCTCTGAAAAAAATTTCTACTTTGCCATCAAGCTTGATTCCATTAGTTAATACACTATTAAACTATCATGTGCTCTCTGACTGCCCAATAAGCCTCATGCCTTCAGCTTTCCTCCTGCCTGCAGACTTTATAACTCAGTGGGAGCAAAGAGGTAAAATTAGATATTAGCAAAATAAATCCCAGGGAAGAGGTGGATAGAAATCTGAGTCATTTATATTTTTTCTCTGAAAACATAGCAATCAGTGAATATTTAGAGAGAATACTGAGAGAAATTTCCTATTTTTGTGTATTTAAAAGTATTTTTTTTAAAACACAAAAGGCTTTCCTCCATAGGGCTTAAGGGGTTCCAAGAGAAAGTATAGCTAAGCAGACCAAAGGCAATACCATCCCAAACTTTTCCAAGACACATTATGATATCATCGGCAAACTCTTAATGTTGGCAAATAATTAAATTTTCCATCTTTTAGAACTGTGTAACCTTGGGTGTCTTAGAAACAAATTGTACAAACAAACCATGGAGATGAGCACTGAGGGTTTCAGAGGAGATATAATGAACCAACTTTAATTACTAACTTGAAATTAAAAATGTAATATACAGATTTAAATTTATTTTCACCTAAATTGTGTATAAAATTATATGGCTTTTGCAGGCTAAGAAATGCTTGTAACCAGCCATGCTACTAAAAAGTCTGAAGTAGTTTCCAAAACCGAGTTCCCAGACTCACACAGTAATAATGATACATTTATCATTACTGATGACCACCTACTGGGTAATTATTGCTTTGTTACTACTATTACAATCAAGAGATTTCTTTATTTACTGTTAACATTCACTTAAAACTGAATGTTAATGACTGTTCTGAATTCACCAAAGAGAGTTTTCTGTTATATTTCAGAAGTACTTACGTTCTGGTTCAGAAATGGGAAACCATATCACAACAGAGTGGAAGCCTGGGTGAGTGCTTGGTTCTCACCCTCTCTAGAGAATGAAAACGGCATTCTGAGAATTTCTGGAGGAAAATTTTCCAGCTCAGAGTTGCAAAAGGTTAACATAATGCAACCACTTGACTTGTGCTAATTATGTAAGTATTTTATTACAGGAGATTCATTCATTATTGATACTTGTTTGCAGTAACTTCCTGCTTGGGGGAGTTATATTTTATATGAGAAGTAAACAATCCATGGCTCCAGGGCTAGCCTCCCCCTCATCTGATTTCCTCCCACCCTTTGTCTAGTTTCACAACAATCCTCCTAGGTTGTTATGTTCCTAGTGAGGTGGAGAGACAATTCTCCAAGACTTTCCTCTTCTGCCTCTATTTCCCTTTCCCATTCAAAACTTCCAAGTTCTTAAAAGGTAGAGCTCAGGGCTTGAAGGATGTTGAGATAGGCATGAGGTAGGTGAGAAAATAAAACTGGTTTTAGTGTTTTCTTTTATATCACATAAAGAGAAGAGAAAATTTTCATTAAAAGTCTAAGCCTAGGCTTCTTGAGGCTTGGCCACCAATTTTTCTCTTTGAAAGCTACTCAGCTCCCAGCCCAGAAATACCAGAAGTCAGGCTGGCCTTTAGTGTACCCAGAGGTCAAGAGACGGTCATTAGGGAAGTGGATGTGGTAGAAGCTGTTAACCAAACGACAAGCTCAGAAAGGGGGTTCCTGAGTCAGAACCCCACCTTACAGACAGTGATGGCTGATGCAGTCTACAATATCTTCTTCCTAGGGCCTATGCCATGTTGCATAAGGAAAAAGACATGGCTTTGCTTAGGGGATGGCCCCAATAAGCTCCTGTGAATGACTGTGCTCTCTATGCACTTGCTAACTAAGGCTATCTGGCTGGTGAGAGGCCAATATTTCCCAGAGAAGCCAAAAAGCCCTGGCATAGGTCTCCAGCCTAGGTGCAAAGGTTTCTTTTTGGGATTTCTTCCAGGTTCTCAGATCCCTGCACAAGAGGCCCAGTGCAGAGCTGGGATGGATGCAAGATATCAGAGGCCAGCATGCTCAAGACCCTTTGACTATGTCAGGAATTGGAGATGATAGAAGGACAGTGGAAGACACTGAGGTAGTTGGAGGGGGAGAGCACTGTAAATACCATGTTCTTGCAGGTTCTGGTGTGGGAAAGGGGGGAAAGAACAAGCTGGAAGTTCAGGCCTCAAGACTTTGGACTAGTTTGAAAAGAATGAAATGGTATGGTCTAGGATGGGGAGCCAAGGAGAGGTGCCTGCAAATGAGCTGGGATTGGGCAGGTCTTGCCAGAGTCCTGGGTTGAACCATCTGAGCTCAAAGCCCAGATTCATCCATGGGCCTCTGCTATCTATCCCTAGGACGTCTGCACTTTGGGCCTATGCATGGGGATGAGACCGTGACTAGAGGTCCCAGAGGGCTTGGGAAGAGCCGTGGGCTGGGTGAGGGGATGGCGAAAGTGCTGAGACTGGGTCCAGAATGGGTGCTCCGAGCTCGGTCAGCACAATCTCCTCTCCCCTGGGTTCCTCTCTTCCCTGCTTTTACCCCACGCCAGGGTGGAACCGCTCTGCGCGATCTACGGAGGAATGCCGTTCCCAGCAAGGCTTCCTTAATGGTCCTTTAACAAACTCTTCGATCTCTCTTTGGCTGCTCTGGCTCTCGCCCGCCTCCTCTCTCTTCCCTTCTCCGCTGCCTGCATCAGTTATTTATGACTGGCGTTAATTATTCACGAAAAGAGAAAACTCCAGCTTTGGGAACTTTTCTAGGTGGCGTTTTAGGGGGACGGTTCTCCCTTTCCCCTCCCCCTTGGAGAGTTTGATTATTGGGGGTTTTCAGGGACTCCATTTGGCCGGATCCTGCCTTGAAGCAGTGGGGAAAGGGAAGCCCAATGGTTGGGCCGGAGATGGGGCGGGGATGTACCCCTGGACCCGGTCAGCTCCGGACGTTGCCTGCTATGTGTAACCTGACGGGGTGGGGAAGTTACTGCGCTTGCCCGCGGGAGTCGCTGTCCGGGCTTGATGGTGCTGAAACGCCCGCGCGAGCTCTGGGGCTGCGGGGGCGTGGGGCAAGGATTCGGATGCAGTCCCAGGCGGGAGCGCTACTTTCCTCAGCCTCTCCAAAAAGTCCCGTTTGCCTTCTCTCCCCTAGCTCTCTCCACCCCCCCCCCACAAGTGACACCAGAACGCTGTAATCAAAGATTAATTGCCTTAATCAAATCGACCCACCTTCTGCAATTAATCTTATAGCAACAAATTAGAGACAATTTACCTCAACCTCCCGGGTCAGGCGGAGATAGAATGTGGGATGGGGTGGAGGATCGACGGGGTGGGTTGGGGGGGGGCTTTGAACAAAATCCACAAATGGTGCGGGGTGGGGACTTGGGAATGGGTGTGCATTAAGGACGGAGGGGCGGGTGGAGGTTGGGGTCAGCTGTGAGGCCATGGAGGCCATGCCGGGGCCGGAATTCCTGGAGTCCCTTCCAACCCGGTATTCTCCAGAGGAGGGGAGGCCGAGGGCGGAGGATGAAGCCACTTACCTGTTCGCGCCGCCCGCGCGGTCTGCGCCCTCCGCGCTCGGTCCTCCCGCCGGCCTCGCGCCCGCGGCTGCTCCGCCGAGCTCTGCCTCCCGCGGCGCCCGCCGCCTCCCCCGCGCGGGATCCGCCGCCGCCGCCCGCCGCCCGCGGTCCGGAGCTCCTGCTCGCGCCCGGTCCCCGGCGAGACCCCGTCCCGTCCCGCCCCGCCCCTTCTCCGCAGTCCCCGCAGCTGCTCGGCGCTCCCTACTCCCCTCCCCGGCAAGTTTGTAAGTTTGGGGTGAGGGTCGATCTCCTCACGCCCAGCTCCTCGGCGTGGCTTGCTCAGATCCGCACCCCCCACCCCAGCTCAGACCTAGGTCTCTGACGCCGCCTGTTGGTCAGGCAGGGCAGGGCAGGTGGAGAGCGCTGCACCAGCCCCAGCCCCGGCACTCTACTTCTCACCCCTCCATGAGCGGGGGTCGGGCTGGGACAGAAACGAGGCGAGGGTCGGAGGCCCGGTTATTGCAGTGGGGCCAGGGGTAAGAGGGGCAATCCGCCTAGGGGGCGCGCAGCCCGGCTCAGCAGCGTGCGCTCCTTGCCAGAAGGGTTGTCCTAGGGCGCGCAGGTGCGCCTCTCCAGTCACCCGCACCCCTTCCAGTTTCCGGGGGAAAGACCACCTGAGGTGAGATCGGGCCCAGAGCGCGGCGTTCTCGGGGAGCACTGGTCATGGGCACTTATTGTGGGTCTCCAGAACCTGGGGAGGGGAGCTGGGAAGATTGGACACGGGAGAGTGAGTCCTTTTTAGCACCCCCAGAGAAGGATAGCTTTAGGGCCAAACAGAGGCTGCTTAAAAAAAAAAAAAGTCGAATCCATGTCATCACAAGTGTGGAACCGCGTGGCAGGGCGAGTGCGGGCCGGGGTTCCAGCCCGAGCCCAGCGCTCCGGGAGGGTATGGTCACAATAAGGACCGAGTTCAGGAGGACTCGTGATGTCACAAAGGCAGCCTTTCAGGCTCTGGCCTAGCCCCTTCCTTGGCAATTTCCCAAGTGCCAGGAGCGCTCACCGGGTCACCCTACCCCTGGAACTTCTCGGGAAGCCTGGGTCTAGCCCTGGCTCCACCAAGACATCTGCGTTGTATCCGCCTCCCCATTCCCATCCTGTCTTTTTCATTGAAAGAATTGATGGACTGTTTCTCCCCTACCCCCTCCTTCTCTAATAAACGCTTCCCATAGATTATTCGACGCAGAGAAGGAAGGCGGCTGCTTAAAAAACAAAAAGCCATAGCCCTAATGAGTTCAATTACAATGTGGTAAACACATTGCCTCTACGCTTTAATTAAGCCTGCTGCCCAATTTTAACTCATTAGCAATTCATTAAGAGAACAGCCCCGCGCTGGCGGGTGGAAGGCACCGCAGACCGATGGTGCGCGGCTAAGTCCACATGCGCGCAAGCCGCCGCCGCCGGCCTTTGCCTGGCGACTCAGTGAGCGAGTCAGGTTTGCGACCAAGTGACTTCAGTGTCCGGCAAGACTAGAACGCCCCCTCTCCCAGACGCCCTGGGCTTTGCCACTCTGAGCCCCCGAGATGACTTTAAGCAGCTCGAGTTTTTCGGGCTTGACACAGGGTTTGCAAACCTGTTGGGTGGGTGACGGTGGTGTGCGCTTGGGCCACAGAGGGGGAGAAAGTTCCTGGGTTACACGCGCCTCTCTCCCCCAAAGTAATATCTAGTCGCCAGGTTCGGCAGCCCCCCACACCTTCTGTCCCAGTTCTTCTTTCACTTTGTACTAGTCTCCGAAGGAAAAGGCTAGGTTTGGCCTTAGCGCTGACTTAGCACTAGCTACCCGGCGCACGCTCCGGCCCCTCTACCTGGGAGAAGCGCGGATACCAATGAGACTGTGATTTGGGGGCGAGGGGGTGCCGGAAGGTAGGGGGAGAAAAAGACCAACAGGCTTGAGAAGTGGAGATGTGGAGGGGAAGCCCAGGCCTCTCCTTTTCCTTCCCTTCTCCACTGCTTGGGAGCGGGGCTGGGGTTAAGGCCGCATCTGTAACCACGTCAGTTGAGACCAGTCGTCTGTATGGAAAAGAAATGGAGACAGAGCGTTGAAGAATGAATCCTGCCCGCACTAGCAACGGGAGAACTGTTATGGTCTTTCCATTTAAGAATCAAGGGAGAGAGAGCAAGCAGTTCAAGCTCGACCCGGTCCCCTCCTCCCACCCCTGACTCAAATGGGTTTGGGAAGAAAGTGCCTGCAAGTTCTGAGCGTCCCACGGTTTGGATTGGACTGAGCTCGTAGGTCTCCAGGCTCCAGCGTGGACTTTCCAAAGAGGTGGGAAGCGCGAGTGCTGCGGAGCGAGGCTTTGGTTACGAACCGGATCTCGCATCCCCTTCTTGCCCCAGCTCTGGCGCTTTTTTTCGGGGGAGGAGGAATTGGGTGCAGGACTGCAACCCGCGACGCCCCCTAGGTGCGCCACGTAACAGCCTGCAGGGCCGCGCGGGCCGGCTCCGCCTCCCGGGGACTGGCGGGACTCCCCAGAGGGTCAGTGTGGGCCCCTCAGCTCCAGCCCCAGCCCCAGCCTTCAAGAAAATGCCGGAGGCTGTTTATGCTTGCTTCACCCGGGAGCCCCCCTCAGGGTTGCCAAGGTTGCTGGCTTCGGGCTGCGCCTTCCCCTGCGGCAACTCCTCCTGGAAGCGAGTGGACGGACGGGATTTCCTCTCGGCGGAGGGTAATGGATCCTGTAGCCCAGCCAGGTCGCCCTGGAGGAGCGCGGGGCGCGCGTCGGGTTTTCTCTGACTTGTCGGTGTGGGGTTCGGAACCTTGGCAAAGGTCTGGGAGGGACAGTTAAAGGGATGTCTTTGACCTTCGGTCTACCCTCCCGACTTTCCTCTCCCAGCCTGGAGGAAGGAAACGCTGCGGGATCAGATGGGGTACGCGGAGGGCCAGGGGCATGCCGGCCTTCGTCCTCCCTGGGTTGCCTGGAGTCGGTTCGGGAGAAACTAAGGCCCAGCCGGAACTGGGTTCGCGCACTCGCTCCTGGAGTCATTCGCGGTGGATCGATCGGTCAGCGGAGGGCACTGGCAGAGGCAGAGCGAGGCGGGGGCGAGGGAGCTTCCTGGCGGGTGTGGCGTAGAGTGCACGAACCCAGGTCCTTGACGGAAGACTCAGCTCAGGGTTTGGTGGGGGATGCTTCTTGTTGCTCTTCAATGGATTTTCGCATGCAGATCTGCGGGACCTCCTCCAGCGACTGGGCCTGCGACAACAGCGCCTTCCTGCGTCCCAGAGGACTGGGGCGCCCAGGGCATGCCTGGAGTAGGGCCTCTCTCTAGCGCAGAGTGTTATCAAAGTATAAAATCGGATCCCTGCCCCAGGCGATCAGCGACGGGATCAGAAATGCGTGCAAGTTGAAACCTGGCAGGAAACCTGTCTCTTTCTCAGGGTTTCCGCATTTGGAATCCAGTTAGATGTCTGCAGGGAAACACCAAGGATCTCACCCCAGGAGGGCGTTTTTATTCACTCTGGAGGAAAAGTTGCCAGGGCAAACATGTCAGAAAGATCCCTCATGCCCGAGGTTAATTACAAGTGAAATAGATTGTCTTCCTTCACTCCCTCCTCACCCCCTAATGCAAGGACGAGGAAGTAGGATATAGTTTATTCCTGTTGACAGTTTGATAAATAAGTATATTTTTTGATTACTAAAAAAGACTGCTGGGGAGGGTCGCTCCCCTACAGTATCAGATGGAGCCTTTGACTTGATCCTTGGACAAGGAGGCGGCCTTGCGTGTTAGGTGCTTTTATGCAAGCTCCACACCAAATAGCCTCTACCCTCTTCTTTCCTGGCCTGGGATATTGAGAACAGAGCTGGAAGAGGCCAATTTAAGGGGGGTACAGCTGCCAGGGATTTCCCAGGGTCAGTTGAAGCCAACCTTTCGGTTTTGTGCAATTTGCCTTTTATAAAATTTCTTTTGCAACCCTACATAGCACTAGCTGCTGTGAAGATCTGCCCTTAGATATAAACTGTCTGTTAATATGTTAAAAATATTATTTGCTTTCTTGAATGGTGGCTATGTGGGCAGGACTATTACCCCATAGTCTAGGACTGCAAATTGAGAGAGGTGTGAGGTGGGGGGAAATAGAAGAGCAGCAAATCTTTGGAAAGGCACAGAAAGCAAAAACACCAATTTATTAGTCCCAAAGAAGCAGGATAGTAACTATTAATATTTATAAGCCTGTCTTAACAGGGACTGGGAGAGCCTGGTCAATTGCTTATGAAGGGTAAGACTTAAGACTGAGCTGGGAAGTTCCATAGGAAAAGCATCACTGCAGTAGTAAAATAGGAAGTATACTCTGACTCGTGTTTGAGATATTCTCTGGGAAGGAGGAAAAATATGTTCATGATTGAAATATTTGCCATATGTCAGTTGTGTGTTAAGCATTTTACATATAACCTTTCATTTCGTCCTCGTGTGACTCCCTAAAGTAACACTAAAGGTGTTACTCTACAGCTTATGAAAACTGATGCTCAGAGTAGATACCTTTTTCTCAAGGCCACACAATTGCTAAGTGGCAAAACCAGGTTTCAAGCTCAGGTATGTTTAGATTCCATATATGCTCTTAACCAATAAATCAGACTGTGTACTACTTGACTACAGTGCACCCTACACTATTTTGATGTTATAGTCATCTCGTTGAATAGACATGCCCTGTGTTAGTCCCATTTGACAGATAATAAACTCAGAGTCCTTAGCCCGTGGTTCTCAAATGTGAGTGTGGCCCCACACCAAGAGACTCTGATTCTGTAAGCCAGCCTGGGATGGGGCCCAGATCTGTGGCAGGAGATTCTGAAATGATATTCTGTGAGTGTATTTTGAAAATCACTACTATAGAGAATGGCAACTTGCTCAAGGTCATTAGGATTGGGTCAACTGGTACCAGATCCCTGTTCTCCTTTCCTTTCCATCAAGGTTTCAGTGAAAGGTGATGACTTCTTCATTATAACCTACATAGTTAGAACCTGGAGGCTTCACTGTGGGGGGAGGGGGCGGGGGCAGAGAAAG